TGACAATTGCAAGCTAAGGTTCATTTGTGCCACTTACATTTTTGCTTGCAGGAAAGCATAGCATTTACTGCTTTTGACTGTGAATTGATGCCACAGACTTGAGCTCAAATAAGAGATTATAGACCATTGTAATAAGTGTCTGATTTGTTCAAGCATCAGCAGGAACTATTTACTTGTCTTTTTACTTGGTTTTGATATTTTGGGGTCTTATCAAATGTTCCCAGCTACGCTTTGACTCAGGTGCTCAATGGATTATCACTAGCAACAGCTTACAACAAATAACAACCTGTCTGCTGGAATTCTCAGGCCAATGCACTACACTTAGCAACCTAGCACTGATACACACTCTTAAAAAGTCCATATCCAACCACTGCGGTTCCCACCATTTCTTTACATTAATGTTATAAAGCAACCAATAAGAGTAAGGCATTCAAGAATGTTTTGTAATTATTTTACAAAAGTATCTTGCTTTAAAACAGATGGTGAAGTTCAGTGTGTAATAATCAAGTCATAAATGAATACCTCTAATATAAAAAGGTTGTTTAATATACCTTTAAATCTTGTCAAGCATAAATCGCATATATTTATATATATATATACACCCCGTCACTAAAATTGGAGTGACTCAAGAAAAAATGATTCATTAGACACTTACAACTTCTTGCCTCACTTAATTATCTGTATGATTTTAAATTACTGAAGAACCACAAAGATCTTTTCTTGCTAAAGAATTCTCAAATGATCCATATTTTTTTAAGTTTCAAAGATGTCCCCCCACACAGAAACACCCACACATCCAAAATTAAGTAACCATTAAAAGTGCTGCCATAATTCATAAATCATAAGAGAGGCAAAAAACTAATCTAAATTAGAAAGTTACATTTGGCAAACCATTCATCCTTTTTTTCACGTGTAACATAAAAACCAGTGATTATAAAGAGTTGAGGCTGTCTATTTTAATCACCTTAAACAAGGAAAGATGACTTTTAAGGTATCATTATTTAGTCTGTCTTTAAGCATCATTCCTATTGCTTTACTATGAAGACAAAAGCCCACATATCCTTCACATTGTTATGGTAATTTCCTATATCATTTCCAAAATAAAAACCTGATCTAGCCAAATATTAAATTATTGAAATTATGAATCTGTTCATCTACCGCCCATTTTACTCTGTTATGTAATTTTAAAATTCACTTTCCATTGATTGACTGTTTTAATCTTCCTTAACTGGTGAGTAACTGAAAATAAACAGTGCATTTCTAATACTATAAATATGAAAAATAGGGAGTACTTGGGGACTGCAGGCAAATGCATTAAAATCAGTCAGTTTTCTAGTTAACATTCTCATTCTGTTTATGTACAAACCCACCGCACTGAGGAGACAGATCACAAATCCACGCCTCACAAAAACATTGTCTCCATCTCATGTTATGACAGCAGGAATTGGCCCAAATCTCTAAGCATTGCCCCTAAAGGACCCTGGCAGACTGGTGCCATCCAGGTGCCATCCACAATCTGAACAAGGGGAACAGCGCGTCCAATTCCACTCATCTGTCAGTGTGGTGGATTATTTCTTGAGAGACTGAAATTGCTGCTTGCCATTGGAACACCATCAATCTTACTGCAGAGGGGACAGGGAAGCTGGCTCTAAGAGGCTGGCCAGGGACACCCAGAGGGCCGGGGGCGGGGGGGGGGGGGGGGGTGTGGGGGAGGGGAGTGGCCTTTCCTAAGCAGGTGAGGAGGCAGCTGCAAAGTCTCACTCTCCCTCCATCCAGAGTTCTGAGTGACAGATTCGTCATTTCCCACATTTCCCGGATACTTGCTATGCACGCAGGGTTGCCTGCTCTGGCTTTATGAAAGAGGCGATTTTTCAAGCTTAGGCAAATGTGGTGAAGCTCAGTGTCTGCTGGCCTCTCATTTGTTCTCATCATGTCACTTGTTTTAACTGATCAGAGAAAATGAGATTATGTTTTTCCTTTTTGCTCATTTATCCAGCTATTTATTTATTTATTTATTTGCTCACTTAGGGGTGGACTGCCACAGATAACTGGCCCTGATTTCTCTCGTTTTCATACACATTTCATTAGTGTCCCTGAAGATTTAAGACCCACCAAGGAAAAACGTCACAACTCTCATCAAAGAAAGCATATTTTTATTCTGGAAATCAAAACAGAAGATTGCATTAAAGAGTCCGACTGAAATAATCTAGAATATTGCTCTGACCAAGATGTATCACTTTAATCTCTGCAGCTATTGTTGGAAACCCAAGAAAGTTGAATAAACTTATTACATAGAATCATTGGACTTTCAGTTTAATATCATTTTAATCTTTCTGCATCTAGAAGGGACTGTTTATGGCTTCCTTCGTTTCAGCAACAAAGTTGAGATGGGTCTCAAATGCATAAGCACTATGGGTTTAAAGTAGTGTCAGGTCTACAGTGGGTCAGCCATGCATGGCTGATAACAAGCAGATACTAAGGAAGACACTGGTGGAAATAGATAATTAAGTTCAATTTTGGTCAGCACAGGATGAGGTGCTTCTCAGTTAAGAATCAAGAGATTTTTTAGTAAGCCCTACGAAGACGTGAGTTTACTTATTAAAAGTAAAATAGTCATTATTCCCAACCAAAAAAAAAATCCATGTATTAACTCATGAATAGAAACAACCTATGAGAAAGCTTATTGCACACTGCACTGTATCTATTTCACAATTATATGCATTGCATGCAAAATAAGACACACCCATTTGGTGATATATTGTAGCCATATACTACATGGTTTACAAAAGTAAAGGGCAAAGGCAAAAAAAAAAATCGTCTTGGCTATGTGGCTTATTAGCTGTGTACACAGCAAAACTTCATTCATTCAGCACCCCTGACTTAGAGGTCTGCAGCCTGCTTTACTGGAGAACTACAGCCGTTCCTGTTCCTGACATTTAGCAAGAACTTGACAATCACAGCCACTTCTCACAAGTTCTTTTATTCACACCTTCACCCTCTCCCCCAAATTCAGGATGGGGAACTGGGCTCAGAGCAGCAAAATTACCCTTCGCAAGGTCATGTCACCAACGTTAGGTGACACAGAGACCTGGTGGTGGCCCAGCCTGAACTCTGCCATGCGCCCCTCACCACTTGTCACTCGCCAAGGCCATTTCTGGAGAGAGAGTTTGCAGTTCCAAGGCTCAGGCCCACGTACTGAGATAAGAAAGGTTTCCATAAATCAGGAAATGGTCACCTCATGCACAAACCGGGCCTCTCCCCGTCCCCCTACCCCCACCCCGTGGTCACCGCTCTGAGGGCAAAAATAAACCTTGCTGATGCCAGGGCTGTGTGTTCTCAGCCAAGTCACTCAGCCTCTCGGAACTTGTTTCCCGGGCCAAAGCGGGGAAGTGACACACCCACTGGCCCAGGGCTAACCCAAATAACGGGATTAACCCCGAAAGAAACTGGCCTATGGCTCCTGCCGCGACTAAAGCTTTTCACGACCCAGCCTATTGGGAACTACAACGAATACAGGTTTCGCCCGTTATCCGTATGGCCATGGAACCAGTGAAACTTTTACCAGAATACATTGGCGACTCGGTGATTGGAGGGAACGCGGAGACCGCCAGTCCACGTTCGTTTCCCTCCACCTGGAAGCTCCGGGGTCTGGCGCCGGAGGCTGAAGCAGAGGCGGGCGGCGCGCGGAGGCGGAGCGGTTTCCATGCCCACCTGCGGGGGTACCCGCGCAGCCTCGTCTTCCCTCCCCGGCCCGGGGCGTGGACACCGTGGCTGCCGGGGCCCGGACGGAGGCAGTCCCTGGTCGAACCCTCACGCACGGCCGCCCCCGCCACGGCTCCGGCGCGGAGCAGCCTGGCGCGCCTGCCGGCAGCGCGGAGCGGACACGCCGTGGACAGGGATCCGGGCTGCTCCTCAGCCGAGCCTGCCTCTTGTCTGGAAGCAGAGCCTCAGAGGCTGTGCCAGCGGCGGCGGGGGTGTTGCGGGAGGGCTGTGCCAAGGAGCCGGGAGCCGCACAGCGGGAGGAAACCCGGCTCCCCAGGGGGAGGCCTGGCCGGGACTGGACACCGGGAGTCGCTCGGAACTGGGGGCGGTGGGGGTGAGGGGTAGGGGGTTCCAGGCGCGCCGCTGGTCCCGGACGCCAAGCTTGGGGATCGGAATGGCGGGCGGGGGTAGGGGTGATAGTGATGGGTGGAGTAGCCGGGAGGTGCAAAGGCTGAAGCTAAACAGAAACTGGCAGGAAACCTCCCCCTTTTCTGGGAGCGACACGAAGGAGAAAGCTGGACAGGTAACAGAAGCAGAGAAAGATCCCGATGGAAGACAGAGGCCACAGCAGGACAGGACTTGGAACGGAAAGACGCAGAAAGCAAAATGCATCCGAAACGGAGAATTCAATATAGGGAACATCAGAAAAGAATCAAGCAGGAGCCGTCTTGTCCTCGCAGCTGCTGGGGGGAGAGGAAAGAAAAGCCGCTGGAGAGAATGCAGGAAGAAGAGAAAGGAGAGGCGGCCCGTTAAACCAGCAAGGCATAGTAAGTGCCCTTTTCATTTGTTTTGCACTGACAACTTACTTGCCAAGTTTGTCAGAGCCTAACACTTTCCCGCAGTCCTTAGGCACATACTGAGATTATGGTCCAAAATGCACCCCAAGCACAGACAGGCAATGATGGTGGCTTTGCCTCCCTACAAATTCCTCAAGTTCTGAAAGTTACCCCACTTTTTTGCAGAATATTCTGCTATTGGCTAAAGCATCCCGGAACCGATGCCTTGGGCTTTTCAGGGATGGAGAAGTGGGTGGGGAGGACTGTAATAGAAATCCCTCCAAGGTATTTTGAGGCACACCCCTTCCCCCCAGAGCACCCAGCCAACAATATATCTGGGAATCCAAAGGCAAGCTGCCGGCGGCGGCGCCCAGCCACTTCCTGTCACTTGCATTCAACCATCTGTTAAGGAGACAGCGGTGAGACTGGCGGAAGCTGCAGCGGAGCCAGCTCCCCACTTACCTGGTCTGTGCAGGTGGTGCTGCTGGAACGTGTGCTGGAGAGACCCCTGGCAGAGCAGCAGTGCACAAGCACTTATCCACAAGTACAGGACCCACGACATCGCCGACACCATGGCCATCCTCTAAAGAAAACATTAGACAGAACAGGTTACCCCTGCCTCAAGCCCCAGCTCAGGAAGGAAGGAAGGGCTCAGACGTCATGTTCTTGATGACTTCTCGGGCTAGAATGAATGCTCAGCCGAGGTCATGCCACGAATCGGGGTGGAGAGAAAGCCCATTCCAGGAGGCGGTACATTGATTTTTCAAAATCTGGATCACAAAACTCCAAGGATCGCCAAAAGACAAAAATAAACTTTGGGACCCTTGATAGTTTTGGATCCCTGTATGCTGGCTAAAATTTCTATTTTATACAAGGTTCCTTATCGTTAACCCAGACAGTGGAAAGCTGCAAACTCCTATTCATTCTAACTTCATTGCGAGTCTGACATAAGCCTGGAAGGAAAGACTTTTTTTTTTTAATTCTACAGTCATGAATTTTTAATTGCAAGGCTGTCTTCTAAACTAAGTAATCAGTTCTCAGAGGCATGCTATCATCTCCTGATAGAGCCGATCCTTTTGGCTGGACTTAAAAATCAGAAGGCATTGTCTTGAGCCAGAATGAGTTCCAGAGGCAAGATCTATGCTTCTGTCCTAGAGTGAGCCACAATTTACAATACTGCTTTGCCTCCTCAGACTCTGTGGCAGCATTTTTTGCACGGTGTTGATGAATATGCATATACAGGTGGTGTGTGTATTTATGGATGAACATATACCTTTTCTCAGGCAGTGAAACTTTACCAGTTCTTAGCTGCACCTATGAGCATCTTAGCAGCCACAGAGGCTCAACTGCGCTCCATATTGTCCAATTCCTTAAACAACACCTTCTGCTGCATTTCCTATTGCCAAATTAATCAAACTTGAGGCATCATCCTTACCCAGCCAGTGGTAAGGAAGCATTTTCTACACAAGAATCCAGGCAACTACATGCTTTTCTCTTGGGTAGACAGAGAGCTTTAGAATCAAGACTGGGCTTTTCTGTCCCTTTCCACTGTCAAATCATCCCCCTTCAAGATTTTCAATTACACATCCGAAAGCTACGAGTCGCCTCCCAGCGTGGCTTCTTGATCCATGGAAACTGGTATTCTTGCGAAAGCTGTGATGTTCAGAAAGCAAAAATATACATTATATATGTACATCTGCACATAATACAGGGTAATTTGTGGGTTTTAGGAGAGCCTCATCATCTTTGAGAAGGGTTTAGGACTATAATAGACAAATGGTGACAACTACAATTAAGTGCAAAGTAGAAAAACATTATTTTCCACAGCATGGTGCCATTCAAGCCCCAGTCTGTGAGGGATCCCTTGCTTTCTAATTAGTTTCCCTGGCTACTGTTTACTTTTGTATACAACACACTTGGCTTCATTGTTTCCAGAGCTATCAGGATAACACACACATTTGCTACAACAGAGAGAAAAAGCAACACTCCTCCTGTGAATGCATTCTGCAACCTTTTCAGAACAACCCTACAGATTAGAAAAAAGTGTAGATTGACTGGGACATGCATTTACTATTTGTGAGTCACAGTTAAAATGCCCCGGGAATTATTAATCGAAACTTGAAAAAAATCCTATCCCGATCAAAACTGAACAGTTCTTCAGTGACTGCTTCCTCGTGTTCCTTTCCTCACCCACAAAGATCTTAGCACCCAAGAAGATTACTGTGATGTGGTGTTAGCAGTATGCCCCTCTCCCATTCCCCCTCCCCCTTTTTTTTTTAATTGCACTTTCTTTCATTCTTAGCCTTTGCTTCCGAGGCTCCTGCATTTGGCTGTCACAGCTCCTTCTCTGACCGGGAGGTTGTCTCAATGTTAATAAGTGTTCTCCCCAAATAATGTAGCCAGCCTTGCATAGTTCTCTGGGTTTCACTGAATCTGCTTTCTGCACCTCCAATCCGTAAAGAGACTTCTTACCTGAAAAATCCAGCCAAGAGAAGAGTACTCTATTAGTGTTCATTGGAAAGCTCTAACACTTTTTAAAATCCATCTGTGTCACCATTTGAGATTTACAAAAGAAAGAAAGAAAGAAAAAAAGCAGATTCCCAACAATCTTCTTTATCAGGATTTAAATATCTGTTTTCTTCTTGCGGTCCTATTTCCACAGTAAAGAAGACATCAGGTTCATTCAGACTGTATTGTCAGAAAAGGAGCCAGGGTTTCAGCGGTGGAAACCTTGTCATTTTCACCTTTAAATCATCTCCTGGCGTCACCTCTGCCTGCCGAGACCTTTGAAGTGGTGGTGAGAGAATGTGCAGTTTCTTGCTGGGAATCAGCTGAGTTACGGACAGACCGTCCCCACTCCAGAGCTTGCGGGGCAGAGTAAGGCAGTGCCGCGAAAAAGCAAGGCTGCTGAACGGTGCTGTAAGTAGCAGTAGTCTGTTTCAATACATCCCTCCTCTCTAAAGTATCACATGTCTTAAAGTGACATTACCCTCGATTACAGCACAGCGAATTGCAATACCTGCCCACAACTCTCCAATAAGTCAAGCAGTGCTTTAACCCTATATGGCCTGAGGGATTCTGTTCGAAGTTTTACTGATGCTGTTCATTTGCCAAAAGCATATAGAGAGGAAAGCGGAAACAAAATGGATTAAAACAAAAAACATCCTGCAAAATATTGATAGTGTGAATGGCGTTAGACTTCTAACAGTAAATAGGAAAGTGAAATAGAAGCCATTTCTTCTCTCTCAGTGTTCTTTGAGTCAGGAAGTTAAACAAAATTATTGTTAGGTTTATGCCAATTGCAGTCTGTTGGTTGTTTTGGCAGCTAAATCTGAGAATAAAGCAGGGCTACAATGAGGATGTTTATGTGCACAACCCCAATAAAAACCTACTGAGTTTCTGGAATGTGTTTCATAAATGAACACATATCATTTTCATCATTGGAGACTGAGTTTCAGTGAAGAAATATGCTCAAAGATCTTTTAAAAATTTTTTGCCCTCATTCAAATAGTATGCTGGGGTATGGAGGGGAAACACTCAGAAGTTCAGGATCTTTTTTTTTTTTCCCTAGTACTATGGTCTGAACCCTTTCTTCTTCAGAAGAATAGTGGGACTGTATCTGGGCTTCAGTGATGCATATAAGATGACCTAGTTTTCATTAAAATTTTTTTTATTATTTATTCAAGAGGCAGAGACAGATACAGAGAGATCTCATCCACCGGTCCACTCCCCAGCTGGGACTGGGTCACGCCAAATGGAGATCTGGGAACACAATCTAAGCCTCCCATGCAAGAGGCAGGAACCCAATTATTTGAGCCATTACTGCTGCAAACTAGGGTGCCCATTAGCAAGAAGCTGGTATTAGGAATTCAACCCAGGTCCTCTGAGGGAGGATGTGGGTAGTTTAACCACTGGGCTACACTCCAGCTCCTAGTTTCCATTGCTAGATTGCACTATAGCAGTTATCGGACATGCTCATTAAGTTGTTACATACATCACTTATGAAGCACCTACTATGTGCTAAGTTCTTGGGGCCTAAGGAGAAAACACAACAGATGTGATCTCCACTTGCCCCCTATCACAAATCGAACTGTTTCTTCTTTTGTGTTGTTTTTAAAATTGAAGTACTATTTATAATTTTTCTTCCCGGAACACTTCTCAAAATTCCTCAACGTACTCTCTTGCCTTTTGCAGGTGTTAAAAAGAAGGTTTGATTCTGCTGCCTCTGTGGAAGCCATTGTCTTCTCCTGTGACACAGAGTAAGAGGGTGAAGGATCCTTCAGACTATCCTGGCTTTCCTGCTGGGCTTTCTCCTGCACAAAACACACATCGGAACTCTTCATATTGAAGCAATAGTTTACCACTAACCAGATTTCAAAACAACAGTGGTGGCCGGTGCCACAGCTCAATAGGCTAATCCTCTGCCTATGGCACCAGCACCCTGGGTTCTAGTCCTGGTCGGGGTGCCAGATTCTGTCCTGGTTGCTTCTCTTCCAGTCCAGCGCTCTGCTGTGGCCCGGGAAGGCAATGGAGGATGGCCCAAGTGCTTGGGTCCCTGCACCTGCACGGTAGACCAGGAGAAGAACCTGGCTCCTGGCTTCAGATCAGTGTGGTGTACCGGCCGCAGCGGCCATTGGGGGGTGAAGCAACAGAAAAAGGAAGACCTTTCTCTATCTCTCTCTCTCTCTCTGTCCACTCTACCTGTCCAAAAACAAACAAACAAACAAACAAACAAAAAACTAGTGGCTATATATCTTACAGTCAAAGATGAGAATGCCTAAGTTATAACTGATATAGGATGACTTCATGGTTTGTTATTGTTGGATTAGTGAGTACGCACAGAACTAATCATTCTGTGGTATCAAGACAAGAAGATCCATAGCAGCAACACCTAATGTTCATTAAAACTCCACTTTGGGCTGGACTTATCCTATAGTACGCTTTATAAAATGTAATTTGATTCTTTTTACTAATGCCATAAGATAGCTATTAGTATCTCCATTTTATAAATAGGCAATGAGAGGAAATAGGAAAGTTAAAGAATTTGCTCAAAGTAATACACTATTAAATGATACAGCAGGTTTCCAATCCAAATGATCTGGCTCAAGAACCCGTCTCTTAAATCCACAGATCAAATACTTCATGGAAAAATAATGATTAAAAAACAGTGCATTTTCTTGTTTAATATAAGATACTCTGAAAAAAAATATGAGTTACCCACTCTAGAGGTATAATTTATGTGATGCATTTGAAATATGGAAGTGTGTAAGAAATTCTTTGCCCAACACTGCTTTTGGTTGTGTTTTGGTGTGATAATGAATTAAAATTAAAGAAAGCTCACATTTACCACTAACAGTTACCATTTTTAAAAACTAAAACCAGATTTGGAGGCAAGATGGCGGAATAGGAAGGGAGCACACTGATAGTCCGGGGAGAGACAGTTTAATAAAAGTGGAGATACTGCAGGTTCAAGGAAGAGTAGGGGAAGAAACAGCAGAAGAAACTCTTCCAGAGCGAGTGATTCACAGTGGACCTGTGTGGAGAGCGTGGGAGCCCACAGTTCGGGACACCAGTGGCAGACTCAACACACGTCAGCGCTGGAACGCGAGGTGAGCCGAACCTCAATAGCCCGAGACACCGGCAGGCAAGCGGAAACAGGAGACTAGAGGGAACGACCCCGGGGGGAAAAGTTCACCAGGCTAACTAGAAAAGAGAGAGAGAGAAAAAAAAAAAAAGTGACTGATACAACTGTTGATGAGCAACTTGATATGTTATCCCTCTTAGTATTTTTTTTGTTTGTTCTACTTAATACTTTTGGTTGAATACTGTAATCAATACACAATTCTTCTTAAGTGCTGAAACTTAACTGAAAAGTGATCACTGTTAAATATAAGAGTGGGAATAAGAGAGGGAAGAGATGTGCAATTCGGGACATGCTCAGGCTGACTTGCCTCAAACGACGGTGGAGTTAGAAACATACCAGGGGATTCCAATTCAATCCCATCAAGGTGGCATGTACCAATGCCATCTCACTAGTCCCAGTGATCAATTTCTGTTCACAATTTATCATAGTGATAGGACTAAGAACCAAAGGGATCACATAAACAAGAATAGTGTCTGCAAATACTAGCTGATAGAATAAAAAAGGAGAGAATGATCCAACACGGGAAGTGAGTTACACAGCAGACCCATAGAATGGCAGATGTCCTAAACAGCACTCTGGCCTCAGAATCAACCCTTAAGGCATGCGTATCCGGCTGAAAAGCCCATGAGAGTATTTCAGGCATGGAAAGCCAAGACACTCTGAGAAATAAATAAATAAATAAATGATCTCCGCGAGTGAGATCCCAGTGGAAAGAACGGGTCATCAAAGAAGGAGGTACCTTTCTCTGAAGGGAGGAAAGAACTTCCACTTTGACCATGGCCTTGTCTAAATATGATCAGAGTCAGTGAACTCAGGGGGCTTCCATAGCCTTGGAAACTCATGACAAGAGCCTAGGGTGATTACTGATGCCATAAACAGGAGTGTCAATTTGTCAAGTCAACAACAGGAGTCACTGTGCACTTACTCCTCATGTAGGATCTTTGTCCTTAGTGTGCTGTATATTGAAATTTAATGCTATAACTAGTACTCAAACAGTATTTTTCACTTTATGTTTCTGTGTGGGAGCAAACTGTTGAAATCTTTACTTAATATATGCTAAACTGACCTTCTGTATATAAAGAGAAACGAAAATGAATCTTGATGTGAATGGAAGGGGAGAGGGAGTGGGAAAGGGGAGGGTTGCAGGTGGGAGGGACGTTATGGTGGGGAAGCCATTGTAATCCATAAGCTGTACTTTGGAAATTTATATTCATTAAATAAAAGTTTAAAAAAAAAACTAAAACCATGGGGCCAGCATTGTGGCACACTGGGTTAAGCTGCTGCCTGCTGGGCCAGCATCCCATATGGGCAATGGTTTGAGTTCTGGCTGTTCTACTTCCAATCCAGATCCCTGCTAAGGTGCCTGGGAAAGCATCAATGGATGGCCCAAGCACTTGGATCCCTGCAGCCACATGGGAAATCCTGAAGAAGCTCCTGGCTTCAAGCTGGCCCAGCCTAGGCCCATTTGGGGAGTGAACCAGCAGATGGAGGATCTTCCCACCTCCCGTGTGTGTGTGTGTGAGTGTGTGTATAACTCTGCCTTTCAAATAAATAGAATAAAAATCTAAAGAAACTAAAACCATCATACATTCCATTTCTAGAGGTCAGACTAAGAGTCAAGATAGTTACTTGTCTACAATTGAATTTAACATACTTCGAGCAACAGCTAATGGGTTACGTTCAAGGCAATCAGACAGGTATTACTGAAAATTAAAAGGAAAAAAGACTGGAAAAAAAGATTTGTCTTTAGTGACATTCTACACGTGCATGTGATAAAACAAAAATATCAATATAATTCTATTTTTCTCCTGCCAAACACCTTACAGTGTATTGCATTGTAACCAATGATCATTTGTTCTTTAATGTAACCATGAAGAGCTGATTGATGTATAAGAACATCTAGACCTTTCTCCAGCTCAGATCAAAACTACTCTCATACCTTTTGTAGAAGTTGGGCCTTTCTATCTTCTGACAATTGTTAGATTACAATTTCTGATTCACTGATGGTTGGGTGGATCATAAAGTTCTTGACCAATGAGAAGTCAGTAGAACTGATGGTGTCACTGGAACATTTCATCATTGGAGTGACATCCTCCAGATCTCTGTTTGCTTCTGGAACAGGGACTAGCTACATTGATACTGGACCCTTGAGTGCCTAAGATGAACAGAGCCCCGCTCCCCTTCCTGTGCCAACCCAGGATAGATGCACACAGTGAATAAGAAAGAGTTTGTTGTTTAAGCAATTGAGACTTCGGAGTTATTTGTTATTGTAGCACAACCTAATCGGTCCTGCCTAATGAAGACTTTAACCTGTGTTA